TGACCGTTGAAATAAATAACAGCTGACATTTTGGATTAAAATTTGAGTTTATAATTTTATTTGAATGTACCTATATACCTTAATTTGAATGTATGTATTTTAAAAACACAATATTTTCGGTCTTTCCAACAATAGAACAATTAAAATTTAATGAACTCCTTAATTCTGCTTAATTCCTGCAATACAGTTGTCAAAACCATACATTGAAACTGATGGATTGGTGTGGCATCGATTGCAGCAACCATCATTGATGGATTGTTAAAAAAAAAACAGGAACATACCACACCGATTCCAACCTTGATACAACAGTTGAATAAAAGACACACGTTATGTGACGTCACTGATGTATTCTCTCTGAACGACATTTAGGTTCGTAAATTTCAACAATCTTTTTTGTGCAACCGGCTGTTGAAGTAGCAAAAAATTATTTAGCTCTCTTCAAGATGTTTAAGAAATTAAAAACAATTATTTTGTTTTAATACACTACAAGGTCTCTTTCGGTCAGAGAAAAGTGAGATCAATTAATTTTTTAATGTTTGTGATAGAGATCTATCGATTGGTAATACTGACACAATACCAAGCACTCTATAGATGTGTATGCTATTGCATGATATTCTTATCTTTGAAATATAGTAGTTAAAGAAATCCAATTGGCCTATTTCATTTTCAAAAAAGTATGAGTAGGTTTGTATTAGTTTAAAGAGCATGCGGTGAATTCAGGTTTTCATTTTAATTTAAATAATTACTAAAAACAAAATACCTACTAACTTCATTATAGCAACAAATATAGATAAACAAGTGATAAAGCATACAAAAGTTATTGAATGCAAGGCAATAGAGTCTTATATTTTATTTATTGCTCAATAATTTCTTAACCACATTTTTTACTTTATATAACTATAAACTTAAAAAAAAATTTCGATTATCAATATTCTTGGGTTATTACTATTGTTAACTCAGATGTTTTTTAAATTTTACAGAAGGGCCACCGTGCATCATGCACGAAAATGTCAATGATAAAAGTTATTTCTCCAAACCTTTAAAAAACATGAATTTAAAGATTTTCATATTTATTTTTGTATAATTATTTAGTTATTTGAATAATGTTTCAAGTACAATAATTATACGGATATAGATATTAAAAATTCCAAAAAAATATTGCAATCAATAAAAAAAATTTTTGTATTTTATAGTATTATATTTTCGTTAAGTTAAATATCACTTTTTTATCTAATGGATAGTTTTCTGTGTTTTGATTGTTTTGTAATGTTTTTTAAAACTTTATTCCACGGACCTTCTTGTATTTTTGCCGAATGAGCATGAAAAGTTATAAAATTTTTCTTGACTTTCAATAAACTGGTTAAATACAGTCATCAATTTTTTATTGAAAACATTATGGTAAACAGTGTGGTAAAGAGTGATCCACAAAAACGTTTCTTAAGTAGGCTATGACAGATAAAGATAGAATATGAGTCATGTCCGTTATAATTACGCGCGGCTCTGAATTAAATCCAAACTAACACTTATAAAAAAGAAGAATTGTACTTTAGAAACATTTTTTTGTTGATTACTCCTTATATCACAGCATTTATAAAAATAATATTAAATTGCTTCAATAGAAATTAGTGATATTTTATTATGTTATTAGGAAAATAATTTGAAAAAATAACTTATTTTACGCTCACCAAGCGTCTAAAAATTTATTATATTATTTGTTGTCGATACTATTTTTTTATTACTTCTCTTAATCTCCTACTCACATAAATTTATATATTTTTATTTTAAGGATTTCTTGTTTATACATAATTAACTAATCTTTTATAAATCAATAAAAAATGTATTTAACCAAAGTTTTATTAGCATCAACGTATTTTTTCATTACTGAAAATTATCCTGAAAACGTATCCGTAAATTTGTTCAATTTATCAGATTTTATGAAGTCGCACAATTTCACTATTTCAAAAATAGCACCTTTATATTAATAATAGCACAAAATTGATTGGTTTAGTAAGGTGCAGACGTACGTCATATCTGCGTCATATTGAATATGTTAACAGACTGGTCTTTATATAATTTTTAGATATATCACAGTATGATCTGATCAAAAATAAAATAAAGGTATTTATTCTTATGAATCGTATATCTTTTAAATTAGAATTACATTTATTGTAGGTACCTTCTAGAAATTCATATTCATTCAACTTCGTTTATTATTTATTAATTATTTGTAGATAGACATAAAAATAAATAATGCTCCTTCTTATTTGGAATAATACCTCTTATTAAAATAATCACCTATTGTCTTCTCTATTCCTTATCCTTTAGTTTTACTTATGATTATTTAAATCACCACGTCTCCTGACTAACAGCAACCCTTCTTTTTTCCTTGCCCTAGCTTTCTTCTTCGTTTCCTCTACCTTAAAATAATATCTCTTTTTTTTAGTGGAATGATGTTTTATCTTTTCTGAACAACCTTCAACTACCTAAGTTTATCTTCTCTCATCTTTTTACTAGCGGCGCAATAAAACTGTAACTAACAAGTGCATTCCTAATTTTGATCTTTGTTATGTCCTCATTCATCTACCTCAATATCTTCGTCTCGACAACCTGTTTTATCGGCTCGTATATTTTTTAAATTCCGAACCATATAGGTACATAAAAACTGGTCTAACAAAAATAAGTTCCTTTTGTTTTAACTGGTATTTTGTATCATATATATCACTACAATCTGTATCTGTAGCGTGTGGAGAGTGGGTTGCCCCACGGCTCTTAGGCCTCAGTAAGCCCATTGATAAGCTCCTCTTAGCTTATCAGTCAGCCCACAGATTTAATGTAGTTGACAACGTCGCCGAGACACAACGTCTTATATCGGCCGATGTTAGCCAATGCTCACCGAACACACAATTTTTAATAAATGAGAGCGTATGGAAATCGTATAGAATATGCTCAATGTATTCATCTTCTTGTTTGCACCCCCTACAGAGTGCGGATTTTGACAGCCCCATGATATGAGGATGCCTCCGTACTTGGTAATAATCTGTCAGAATGCCTGTAATCAGGCGGAGATTCTGGGTCATAGTAAAATATGTTTTTGCTGTACTTATCGAGATAACTTAAAAGCTCCTTGGCAGCTCTGCAGCTTCTTGTTTCATCCCATCTATCCTTGTTCTTTAATTAGGTTTGTCACTAACGATGTTGTCAGTCCAATTGAAGGGCTAGGTCAATAAAGTATTTAGTTGGCTGCTTTGTTGGCTCAGTAAGACGGTTACTTTTTGATGCAGCGTGAGTTTGGATCCATCTTAAGTTGACCACATTGTTGTTGATTACTTTGGTCAAAGCTTCGTGATATTCTAGTACTAATCCTGAGTAAATTGGTTGTATTTATAGGATGAGTGGTACTTGTCTACTATCTGTATAGATGAGTATGTTCCTTCCAGTGATACTGTATCTGTTAACTTCTTTTGCTGCTATGAGAATCCCTGTGAGGTCAATTTGAACTACACTGGCATTTTTTGTTTAGGTTTAAGGATCTGGAGTATATTCCACATCCTGAGCCTTGTTTTCTTTTAGAACCGTCGGTGTAAATATGAATCGTACCTGCCACTTCCGGTTCTTCTATTTGTTATAACTTTTTAGTCCTGACTCCAGGAGAACGGTATAGAAGAACAAAGCTATTAAATATTTTGTCTGATTCGTCGGTTAACGTGGTGTATGGCTTATGGAAGACATATTTCAGTGAGATGTAGTCAATGTTCGCTTGAAGCAGTGGATGCGTATCGGGCGCCTCCCGCCAAAAGCGATGTCTTGCCTCACCAGATCCTACATCAAGTTCTATTCCTACTGTGCGGAGTCGTGTCACTGTCGTCAGAGTGTGGTTTTCATGGCTTATGTTGAGTCATGCTGTTCTTTGAATTTGTTCTGTCAATTGTTGGGTTTTCGACTCTGTTTTCTAGGTGTACGTTCCATGTTAACTTGCGTCAAAGGTGAGACCTAGGTACTTCACCTCTGTTGCAAAGTTTAGTTTTGTGTTTAGGAGTTCTGGAGGTTTTAGTTCCATTTTTATCATTTCTGTCTTCTTAGAATTGATAGACAGTGAATGGTCCTTGTACCAGGGTTCTATAATTTTGAGAGCTCCCTGCATTGTTTCTAAGAGTATGTTCTCAAAAGTCTCTGTTTGCAGAATGACTAGGTTATCTGCATACGCCATTGTGTAGAGACTGTCATTATTGAGAAGGCTGATGAGGGTGTTGGGGACCATCTTCCATAGTAGAGGTGATAGCACCCTACCCTGTGGACACCACCTCGCAACCAAGCCTCTTATATTCACATCTGCTACACTTATAAATACTGCACTCTGCGAGCATGTTATATATCCACCCACTACAGTAATTTCTATTTACTTTAACCTTTTTTTTTATGATTTTCGTAAGATTTTTACTCAATTTTTCACCTTTATGTAAAACGAATCATTTTATTATTCCTCTGATTTGCTGAATACAATATCACACCATATTGGACTTAATTAGTTTTAATCCTTTTTTTACATATATTAAGACTGCTTAAGTCTTATAATGAACGAACTATATACATGCGTATCCAGTATCGGCTATAGAATGCTTTCCCCTATGCTTTGCACAAGTGTAGTTTTTACATGGACTTGTGTAAAGCATATCTGAAAACGTTCAGTGGCCGACGCTGACAAGACTTAAGTTATTTACCTCACTACCTGACATAAAGTTTTTGATCAACTGAATATTTTCAGAAAATATGAAATAAAGATTGGTCTGTTAAATTTTCTCTCAAAATTAAAGTACAGCTAGAATAATAATTTATTTTTGAATATATGCAACCACCAACCTAGTCATGGTTATCTATTGAACGTGTGAACGTCCCTATTTTAATTGTTACCTAATTAAAAGATAGGTTTGTAGTAAATATGTTCCAAAATGAATTATCAGTGCTGTATATTTAATAGTAATTTAAATTTTGTATTTTTGTAGGACGGGACGCTATGCTGCAATTATAATATCCATTGTGGTGGTTATCAACGACCAGTGGGATACGGTGGTGTGGTGGCGTCTAAAAATGTACATTCAACAAGTGACAGTGACAATGTTAAACAATCTAGTTATCGCCAATTGGCTGCTCATAGTGCTGGACCCTATAACATTGAGTCTACGAGCAGTGAGACTGAAAGACGTCCAAAAAGGGCACCAGGCGCGGGTTGAAACCCCCCTAACTCCCAAAACCGGTCTTACATTCCTTGACACTTGCGTGCAATAGCTGTTACTCAACAATAGTAATAATAATAATCTCACAATTATTAATACCAGTGAATCCATGAAGGTAATGAGATTATTATTATTATTATTTGGCTTGCCCAATCTCAAGTGTCTTCCTAGATATGTAGATTTCGCTTCGACAGCTTACATTTGTTACGATGTTATACCCAAGAAATCTATTCGTAATTTTACATTATGGGCTACTACAATGTATTGTTTTATATTTAAATATTTAATAAATTTTACTGCGGAGGTTGCTCTCCATCAGCTGTTCAGACTACTGTTGTAGGTTTAAAAAATTCCAAACACACTTCAAATTCATTATTAGGTTACTGATTCTATTTGAAGTATGTTTTGGTTAGCGCTAGTGTTCGACTATTCCAATAGATGTTAAAACAGAAGACGATATCATAGGATATATATTGTAAAATCGTTGTTGTATGTTTCTAAGTTTTCAAATTATTCTAAATATTTCATTCAACATTGTCTCTCTTTTGGCTAGTAGTAGGTCTAAAACTTCCTACTTGAACATGTACGAGTACATGAGATTTATAAAGCACTAGGCTAGTTTAATTCTTAAAATGGGTTCCTGCTAATGGATACTTAGCCAGTGAGAATGGTGAACCGGTTCCTTTAGTTGAACATTTATTCGTTTGTTATTGATTTTTTAAACATATTTGAAAAAGAATCTGTTGGTTTTACAGATGGCATTATAATGCATATTTTAACATAATATATTTCTGAACATTCGTTTCTCTTTTTAAATTATATTGTTTTTAATAATTTTACAAATTTGACTATAAAAATATCATTTAACTCCAATTACCACATATACGGAGTGGCCCAAAAGTCTGGAAACGGCCAATTATCTCGTAAATTGCTAGTCCTAATTATACCAAATTTGGGATACACCTATTTTGGGATACGGAGATTCCAGATTTGATATTTGCAATGTTGCCAGATTTTCCGTTTCTCTTATATTATTAGTCACTTTGGTTTTTCAAATTGATCACCCTATATATTAAGTCATTATTGGAATCTCCTGTTCAATACGAGTTCAACCATATGCAACACTTATGATTTTATGTAGTCTGGAAGGTCTTAAATAAATAAAACAATCATGGAGAAATGTGGTACATATGGTTAAACTCGTATTGAATAGGAGATTCCAATAATAACTTAATATACAGGGTGATCAATTTGAAAAACTAAAGTGACTAATAATATAAGAGAAACGGAAAATCTGGCAACATTAAAAATATCAAATCTGGAATCACCGTATCCCAAAATAGGTGTACCCTAAATTTTGTACAATTAGGACTAGCAATTTACGAGATAATTGGCCGTTTCCAGACTTTTGGGCCACTCTGTATATGTTTATGGTAAATATATACGTATAGGGTTTGATCTCAATACAATAATATTCTAAGGGAAATAAATTAATTTTATTACAAAACCAACATTAATTGATTAAAAACATTAAACAATTTTATATAAATACTCAATGATCAATGTCTCAACATAATTTTGATCTAAATTGTCCAACTGATACATATAAACATCGCATTTTTAAACAGTTTTTACAGTTATTAAAATGAAACAGAAACTTATGAAAAATATATTTTTAGACTAAATAAATTATTAATCTAAAATTATTCGATACTTTTTGCGCTGTGTATTTTACTTTTCTATCAGTTAATGTTCAACTAAAGCTAGAGCTTGTACAATCCCCTTGATTAGATAGCAATTATTGCTACTTAAGAAAACCAACATTTTGTGAGCCTTATCACTACTTTCAACTTTGACAATAAGAACTGTAATATTTAAGGTAGCTAGTGTCATATGAAAAACATAATATATAAGAGTGTTAGTTAAAAAATTATTACTATCGACTTCAAATTTTATCATCTTAAAATAGAACATGCTAAACTTATCCGAAGTCATAAGAATTTTTGTGACAACTATATCAAATAAACGTCACACATATCAATCAGCACTTTGTCACAAATTGTGGAGTAAAGGCAAAGTTTTACATCTATTGCTAGACAAGAAAGATTTAAATGTCAATTATTTTAAAGTAAATATTGCTGTGGGTTTTCATAACGGATTTCATGTAAAAACATTATAGCAGTTAATGCCGACACGGTCAATTTTGTTTAATAGGTGAAAAATAGCGTTTTCAATTAAATAGGATTGCAATTTTAAAAACTTGACATATTTTAAACGTTTAACTAACATAATGTAACTATATCATCATCATCATCATCATCATCATCATCATCATCAAAGTAGATCGTTAAATATATTATAAAAAAAGTTTTGGAAAAACGAATATTTAATTTAAACTACTTATATTTTGCTAAACAAAATCTGGGTAAGTTATGATCAACACGTTTTGTAAAAAAAATTATTCAAAGTTTGTATTCCGTATTTCAAATAATTTATAGTAATTTATGGCGTTAATTAGATGATAATAGTAATATACAGGGTGGACCACTTAAAAGTTCCTCCCCCCATTATTTTCGTTATTCATTGAGATATCGGAATAATTTTTCTTTTGTATGAAAGACTGGAACAAATACTTTTTTATGACGGATACAATTATTCTGTGACGTCAAGGCTTACTTCCGGTTTTTCTGGAAATAACAGAAAATCGCAATTTATTTTTTATTTTTAAATTGAGACCCACTTTTTTTATTGTAAATTTGAATTTCTGGGACATCTTTGTATAATAATCGTGTATTTAAAATTTTCTGGCAGCTGTCAAAATGGCCGCCATATTGGATAATATTTTTTCTAAACAAGTAACTATTAATTTAATTTTTGAATCTTTAAATTCCCATTGAGACCCACTTACAGTACATCAGTGGCGTATCTAAGCATTTTCATTATTAGCAAACCGTTTTAATAATTCCATCCGCTTTTATCTTCGTTGTTAATTGAGATATTGGAACGAAAACTTTTTTTGTTTAAAATGTTAAAACAATTACTATCATTTACTGGATTTAATTGGTCGGTTACATCATGGCCTATTTCCAGTTTTTTTTAATAACAGAAAAATTTTTAATTTTTAAATAGAAACCCCCTTTTTTATTGAAAATTTAAGTTTCAGGGACATTTATGGATAAGAACCGTGTATTAAAAATTTTCTGTCAGCTGTCAAAATGACCGTCTATTGGAAAATATTTTTTTAATATGTTGCTGTTACTTCGTTTATGGAAAAAAATATGTGGATGTATAAAATCTTTGTAAGCTTCTTAGTTCCCATTAAGACCCATTTATAGTATACCGATGGCGTATCTAAGATTTTTGTTATTTTTTAAGCGTATCTGTCATCGAATTGAATTTATACGATTTCAGCGCTTGTAACCGCACTACATCAGTCAACTACGATAAATCAAATAACAAAAAATAGTTATTTATACATATAAAAAGTGTATAAAGTGGCCTTCAAAAAAGGCCTTTACATACGAATTGCATACAATATTTCTACTACCGTACTAAGATTAGAAATACAAAGGATACTTTACTCATTAGTGCGTAAACTGTTATACTTTACGCACTAACGCGTAAAGAATACTTCAAATAAAATTTGTCATTTGTCATGTCAAAATACTAAAAATTGTGTCTTGTTTAAATTTTACTTTACGCACTAGTGAAAAAAGTACAACTTCGTGATGTGCGTAACGTGTGTACTTTACACACAGTAGTAGAAAAATAAATTATTACGACACGCAACAGATCTTTAAATTAAAAAAAAAAATATATTTTTATTTAAAATTTTAATTTTCAATAAAAAAGTGGGTTTCTATTTCAAAATTAAAAATAAATTGCGATTTGCTGTTATTTTCGAAAAACCAGAAGAAAGTCATGACGTCACAGACTAGTTGAATGAAGTATTTGACAGTATTTATTCCAAGCTTTCAAAAAAAAGTTTTCATTCCGATATCTCAATTAATAGGGAAGATAAGAGCGGGTGGAATTATTAAACGGTTTGCCATTAATAAAAATCTTAGATACGCCACTGGTGTACTGTAAGTGAACATGTTTAGAACAAATATTATCCAATATGGCGGCCATTTTGACAGCTGACAGAAAATTTTTAATATACGCTTCTTATCCAAAAATGTATCAGAAATTAAAATTTTCAATAAAAGAGGGGTTTTGATTTTAAATTAAAAAATAAATTGTGATTTTCAGTTATATCCGGAAAAATCGGAAGTAAGCCATGACTTCACAGGCTAATTGGCTCCGGTAAATGAAAGTATCTATTATAAGCTTTTAAACAAAACAGTTTTTATTCCGATATCTTAATTAACAACGAATATAAAAGAGGATGGAATTATTAAACGGTTTGCTAATAATAAAAATGCTTAGATACGCCACTGGTATACGGTAAATGGGTCTCAATGGGAATTTTGAAGCACTCAAAGATTTTATAAAGATCATACATTCCTAAATTTTTTTCCATAAATGAATTAATAGTAACATGTTTAGAAAAAATATCCAATATGGCCATTTTGAGAGCTGCCAGAAAAATTTCAATACAAAAATGTCCCAGAAAATCAAATTTACAATAAAAAAAGTGGGTTTCAATTTAAAAATAAAAAATAAATTGCGATTTTCTGTTACTTCCGGAAAAATCGGAAGTAAGCCGTGACGTCACAGAATAATTGAATCCTTCATAAGAAAGAATTTGTTCCACTCTTTCAAACAAAACAAAAATTATTCCGATATCTCAATGAATACCGAGAATAAGGGCGGTGGAACTTTTAGGTGGCCCACTCTGTATACTTTACAAATATTACAACAGACAATACTAAAAATAATAATTAATTTGAATTAGATTTTAAAAACGGTTAATTTTGACTTTTGATATGTTATTACTAATAATAACTTATTAGACATGAATGCTATAAAATAAATAGATCTGATATTTAGTGTGCTTAGAGCATGCATATTTTTCAATTTATTTATAATAAATTACATTAATTCTTTACCAGATTTTTTTAATGGAATTTTAACTTTCTGTCACGTAAATATGACTGAGACCCGAAAATTAAAACTCTAACATATTTATTATATTGTGTTGGTAAAACATTTAAAATACGTTAAAAAAACTATTTAATCACAGTGTACACACACGTTTGTGATTTTTTACAAGGTAAACTAAATAATTATTATAATAAAATTGTTATATTATAGATTTAACAAAGATACCTATATCAGCATTTTAGATATTGACACCTATCATAAAAAGAATCGTTTTGCCAAGAGTTGTTTGACATTTTTCACAAGAGTAATATCATCCCCTTTAAAAATATTTCCTCCTCGAACGAATATATTATTAATATTATAGTAAATAAAATTGTAATGTTTACAATAATTACGGTACTACCATGAAGCTATATGTTAGTTTATACCGATTATATATGTGGGATGATTTCAAAGAGATTAAGCTTTAATTATTGAGGCATTAATTTTTTTCTACCCTTCATTTTTTGCCAGACTATGATAAGAGTATTTCCTATATTTCTCAGATGTAATCATTTTGAAAAGATTAATTCTCTGTCATACTATTATAACTAGCACATGATACAAACCAGTATTAGCGTATATGGAAGGACGTATTGGTTCAGAAAGTTTTTAAAAACAAATTAATTTTTATTAACAAATATGTTTGGTTTAGTATAAATTTAACGTTGAAATTCTATATTTTAAACCATGTAATAACAGTAATCCT